CGGTGACTATAATGTTTGTTTGAACCAAGTAATTTGCGTTACAGCTGGAGTCAATAATGCCGGCACTTCACTTCCGGGTTTGGCCGTTGGGATTTGGAGTCCTTTTGCTCGATTCCAGTTATGTTGTTGGTGAATGCTTTCTCATGTTTGGAATAATGAATATTGATAATACATAGTTTAAAATCATGGTTGATTTAATTATTTTTTATTATTATTGTGAAGTTGAAGGTATTAAACTAATTAATGTAGTATTAGTGGGAGTGGTAATAATAGTAGTACTCAGAGAATGTTTAGAGATCAGCCATCTCGTTACCTCTGCGTCCCGTGTCCGAGACGCAAAATTAACCCACAGGACGCACAGTTCCAAACAATCAGTGTTGTGTCCAAGGACCGGCAACCCGAGGCCAAGGCCAAGGACTTGCCTCCGAGGCCAAGGCCAAGGCCAAGGACTTGGAAAATTTTCTGAGGCAAGGCCAAGGCCAAGGACTTGAAAAATTTTCCGAGGCCAAAGACAAGGACCAAGGACTTGCTTCCGAGGCCAAGGCCAAGGACCAAGGACTGATTTTGAAACTGAGGCCTAGCCAAGGACATGTATAAAACAATGCTATCATACCACTTGGCAGGTCCTCATGATTCACACCCCTCCATCATAACCCTTTGCACTCCCTAATGCTTGAATGAAGTGATTTTATTCAAAGAGTAGAACAGTCAAGGTACGTGTTATTTATACTGAGAAAAAGAAATAAAATCATATGATATACATTTATGAATGAATGTTTTAGATCAGATTCAGATTCAGATTCAGAAAACTTTATTCATCCCCATGGGGTAATTGGACTTAACAGGCACGCTTTGCACAAGAAACATGAAAAACAAAGACGAACATGGGATACAGTGCGAAGGGCCTGTCGGTAATCGCCGTAAGTACAGCGCCCCGAGATCTTAGATGAGAAAAGTAAACACTAGGGAAGGAGGGGATAAAAAAACCATGCCCGAACTATCCTCTTCTGAGGATAATTTAAGTCTAGGAGAAAAAAATTCCCGGCACATCAAGCATATGACAGTTGCAACAAGACACAAGACATAACGTGATGAGGGGGGGCGGATGGATGAAGCATGGTACCTTTATGAATAAACCATTCGTCACAAGGTGTAGTAATGCTAATGTTAACTGTTGGTAGAACTAATCGATGACGTGTGTTAAATTCTTTCCTCAAATTGATCGTAGATTATACATGCATCGTCTTGGGAAGAGGATGTCAAGCCACATCAAAAAAAATCCCCGTGCACATGCGCGATGTCTTGAAATTAATGGTGTCCGCCCGCTTCGTCCCGCTGTCGCGGCACGAAGCAAAAAAATGCCCGGAGTGCCTGGATTTTTAAGCAAGGCCTGAAAAACCTCGCCGTGTCACTCCCGTTGTCTGTCAAA